ATTAACATATACTTATGCTTTTATTTATTTGTGTATTGTCTAGTTCTTGAAGAAGTAATGTATTTATTGTATGAGTTTAAGCTACAGCATTACACTGAGTTTTTCATTTCTTCTATTATTCCAGCTCAAAGAGCTTAAGCCTTTAAAATCATTTAAATTCAATGCAAATACTGATATTTCTTTATTTTTATTGTGTAAAGAATATTTTTTTTTATTCTGAGTGAGTGAGTGAGTGAATATTAACGTCGCACTGTTCAGCTACTCGAGGGCTTTTGGCGACGGACCTCGTAATTTTGAATCTATTATTCTGAAAATGCGATAAAAATTTCTTGTGAACTTAGGTTGTTATGAAAAGGAAAGTGATTTGATTATTCTTTCTCATGAAAACGAAGTGTGTTAAAATTTCTAGCTTTAATTTTCCATGCATAAACAGATTGAGTTAAGCCTTGGTTTGGTGCATACCATATGCGATTCTAAAATGCATACTTCAAATTTTTCTTCCCTATGACGCTATTGGCAGTGACGAATGAGTGCAGAAGTATAATTAAGAACCTTAAGTGTCCCTCAAATTAACTGAGATTTTAAAAAATTGACGGAAAAACTTGAACAAAGCTATATTGCATTGAATTTTGTATAAACTTTGAGACAGTGACGTAACGGGGAATATTAGGGTCCCCTCGCAAACTCCGGTTTTGGGTCCCAAGCCCAAAAACGTACTTTTGCGTTTGTCAAGCTTTGGACCCCCAAGAGTACCTGGGACCCCCGCAATGCGGAAGTTGCGGGGGTGTACGTTATACACTGAACTTCGATGATTCCTAGGGATCAAAAAGATTTAAACACACACAAAAAAAACACCTTTAAAAGTAAGGAATCAGAAGAAATTTTAGTCCAAAGAACCAATAAAAGTGAATTAAAATTACAAACATAAACAAATTAAGTAACTTACCTTAAAATCTGGCATATAATGCGCACCGCCGTATAACCCACATCTATACTTTCAAGCTGCAATTTTTAGTTTTTTGGTATATTTGTCGTATAACGCGCACCCTCTTTTTTACAAAGAAACCTGAAATGTGGGAATGCAATGCTTTTATGTTTTGAAGTCATTTATTCGAAGTATTATTCTAAGTTTTAGAAAGAAAAACAGCATACTTCTAGATCTACAACCCTATAAGTTCAAAAGGAATGTCATTTTTTTACAGAAACAGCATTTCTATCCATGTAGAGGTCTAACTTTTTACTATGCTCATCTTTATTTTATTTTTAAAGCTCTCATTTTTATACCTGGCTTATAACGCGCTCCCATAAAATTCGATCCTTCTTTTTATATTAAAAGTGCGTATTTTACGCTGGATTTTACGGTAAGTTTTTAATAACCAGTTAAAAGTTACAAATTATAGCAACGTATTCCTGTGTATGTAACTTTACCCAAACATTGTTATTTTCCTTTGTTAGTGATAGAATTAGGGATATATTCTACAATATTTGAGATAGATATTAAAAAAAAATTTTTTTTTTAATTTAGCAATTAAGGAATATGCATTTCCCGTGATAACTATGTCACCCGTCAAAATTCCATTCGCTGTCAGATAATATTTAACGGACTTTTTGAAAGTGCTCCATTGACAAATGGATTGTTTATTAACATCGCATTTTGAAGCATCAGCTTGAGAGATTTTAGCGATGGATTTCCTAATTTTGAGTTACAGTCAAGTGATGAGGACGACACCTGAGATAACCTCCCAATCTACGATCAACTTCACTACAACGACGAGAGAAATTTTAGTCTCACAATAGATTCAACAGACTTGTAGCGGTATCTAAATAAGCCAGTAACAGCCTCCGGACAGAAGGGATCACTTTTTATCCACCGGCTCACTGATGGAAAGAGTAGTGTAGCGGTAGCTAAATAAACCAGTAATAGCCACCACGCGCTGATGATCGTTTTGGCGTGATGGCTAAGATACTCGTTTTCGGATAGGAAGGTGCCCAGTTCTAATCTTCTTTCAGATTTAACACAGCCTCATCAGCCCACACGCGCAGTGGATTTTCTACAGGCTTCGAACCTTAATTTTTCCGTACCGGTTCAAACAAATGTATATAAATAAATATATATATATATATAGCCCAATACCAATAAAGACCCTCAGTGTAGGCAGCCCAGCAAGCCTAATTCTGTCGAGAGCTGAACCATCCTCCCGTTGGTGTGGTGTGGTAGTTAGGAGAGGGGGTGATAGCTCAGGTGTCGTCCACGTCACTTGACCATGGTTCAAAATTACGTGGTCCGTCGCCAAAAGCCTTCGTGTTGCTTAACAGTGTGACGTTGATATTCACTCACTCACTCACATATATATATATATCGGTTCAGATCCGAATGAATAATTTTATTTTATGTATATTCTTATTTGTACTATAAACAGTGGCGTAGCTTGGGCTTTCGCTACCCGGGGCCGATTGAAAATTTGTCGCCCCTCTATTTTAATTATTAGTCAAGAAAATTAGTAAAAAAAAAGCAGCTTTAAATTTTTTATTGATTAAAAATGCACTTTTCGTGTTTTTTTTTTTTCATAGCAAAATCTTTTATACAATTGTCAATATCAATATGTATGTCATTTTCAATTGCCAGAATACCTAATTTATTAGCCTTAACGTGGACGTAGTTGACGTGAGAGGATTTTGGATTAATTTTAGCTTAGAGAAGCTTCTTTCGGAACTAGCATTACCGATGGTAGATGTTAAAAAAATTCTCAACATTCTCTGCTTCTAATACGGTCTGTAAAGCACGTATTTTTTGAGCACATTGATGGATATTTAGTCCCTCTGTTTGCAAATAATTTTGAGCATCATTGACTTCACGCATAACCGGTTGCCAGAAGCCTAAGTAACATAAAAATGCGATTGCATAGCAACTAATAAACTTCTTGCATCTGTGTGTGTATTAAAGTTTTGACTCGTTTCCGTCAGTTTCGCAGTGCGGGCGTGATTTGGAGTTGGAAATGTTTTTTGAATTTAAAAATCGAGGTGCTTGTGGCCGCCCCTTTTCGTATACCGCTCGGGGCCATGGCCTCCTTGGCACCCCCCACGCTACGCCCCCCAATGACTATAAACATAATTCTATCATAATCTAAAGTGTAGTTATATGATTGACATGCAATGATGATAATTATATGGTTGACGTTAAATTAGAAAATATTGATATGTTTTTTGCAGTAAAAAGATGTTTGAAGATATATCGAACCGAAATAAACCAAAATTTTTTTTAGGTTCAGTTCCGGTTTTCATTCCGAACAAAATAGCGTTTCTTTCCAGTTTTCTATGACAAACCTCCAACTGTACAGAAGCAACGCTGGCCACGAATTTGCACCTTGTGACCAATTGGCTATCGATACTATTTTTTTTTTAATTTACACTTATGTCCATGAAAAATATCTATTTGTATGCGAAACTGTGTTTCTCTGAATAAGAAGAAAAAACCTTTTTTTTTAAAATGTATCTGATGAATAGAAAATATTTGATATTATAGTATAGAGTGTCTTTGTAATAAACAGCTGATGATTAATTAATTTTAATACATACAAACTCTAAACTTTGAATTCAACATTGTGAATTTTTTTTTTTTGAAAATCCTTTCTTATGAAACAGTGAATTATAGGTTTTGACAGAATGACCTAATATAAATTTCTAAATATACCTGAAATTATTTATAAGCTTATAACACAGTAATCATAGTGCGTTCAATGAATATTTTTGACAATATATTCATGTATAATTTTACATTTTATAAGTATTATATACAATCTAGTTCACAACTATAAGGAATGTTTGGTAAGCTTTATGATTCATATTTGTAAAAGTGCTTTCTAAAGGTGTATTTAGAGCCCCAAGAAGAAAAAATATTAATAAGCATTTAAATATCTTATTTTTTGGCATTTTTTTTATTTCTGTTTACAATATAAAGGGACATGATGTAAAGCGGTACCTTCACCTCGCGTTGGTTGATGTGAAAGTCATGTTCCTTAATCAGATTCATGGGGGGGGGGGGGGAGCCCAAGACGCTATTAAGTAAGACACGAAATAATGACCAATAGATATTTACATTAATTCACTTTTATTAATATAGCGTTACACCTGATTACTCGATACGTAGACAAAGTAATAAACGAATAATAAATAGTAGGTACTTTCTTTCATGAGATGCAATGCCACAAGAAATCTTCTAATAACTTTTAATAGCGGAACGACCATAATTCCGGACGATAATTCAGGTATAAAGGACTATAATTCCGGACTCTAATTCAAAAATGAGTGACTGCAATTCAGGCAGTACTAGCGTGGCTATATTGTCCACATAAATCTATTCTCTATCTCACTGGCTATTTATATTCTATTCAGTTGACATTCGCTTGCGGTTTAGAGTTGTTCTATCCTAAAAGGCCAATCTGGCTGGATGGCAAAAAAACCGAATTAGAGAGGATAAACCTCGCTGACAGTCCATTCTTACAAATGTTCCTCAGATGGGTTAAAAAGTTATTTAATTTTTTTATGTTAATGTTATTTTAGCTCAAGAAATAATAATTATTTTTAAAGAACAATTTCATCAGCAGGAGTGATGTAATTCTTCATCGTTACATCAAAAAAAAAAAAAAAAGTACAGATTTCTCTCTGTAATTAATACAATGAACATTCAAAATTAAAACGGTGCTACTTGTGCGTTTTATGTACCCCATCCCATCACATAATTGTCGAATGAAGGCTAGTCTTAAGCAAGTAATATAAATTTTTTTTAAAGTCAGTTTCTACTTAGGTCAACTAAGAAAATTTTTATTTTAGTTACATTTTATTAAATAATTACAATTAATATTAATGTGTATATACATATAACAAAATCACAATATTTAGCGGCAAAACAGAAAGCGATTTTCCATTTTCATTTCTGTATATGGTGTTGAACTATAATTTTTGTTCGTTGCTATTTATTCCTTCATTCTCAGAAATTAGGCCATCCCAGGCTATTCGAACCCACGACCTTTGAATTAGAAGTTCAACGTGCTATCCATTGCCCCTACAGGGACACAACGAGCGATTTTCCTTTTTATATATGCTGTTGTACTATTATTTTTGTTTGTTACTATTTATTCATTAATTGTTGTTGTTGTGTGTTTTTATCCTGGGATACACATGAAATACAAGGGGATGAACAGAAACATACAATACAAACAGAAGAATATATATTACAAATGAAGATCTCAGCATATAACAGAAGGGGTGCGCTGCTTTCCATTCGAGACGGGAATCCATTACAAGTGAAAGTCCGACTTCTTTTCCGGAAGAAAATACATCCATGCCTTACTCGGGATTCGAACCCGAACTCACTCAGTTACAAGCCGAGGATCATACCCACCATATTGACCGGGCGGCTATTCATTAATTAATTTTAAGTAATGAATAAAAATTTGAAAAACTGCATTAACATCAAGTGCCATCCAATACAAGTTTTAAAAAAATGTATTTGAACTTAAGTGGATGAGAATAGAAAGTATTTTATTAACGATTGAAAATTTGAACAAGATATATATGTACAGGGAGATTGTGAACTAATAGTAGGAATTGAAAAAATTGCCCTTCTAAAACGAGTATAATGGTGAACAACGCAGACTGTCCATTTAAATCCTTTCACAGGAAGAGGTAAGGATAAATAAAACAAAAATCTCCCACCAATGGAGAAAATTGTAACTTTTTAGGCGTCCCCTCACGAGACGCACGCTAAACGAATGTTTCGTAAATGTAAATGCGAATTGACGCCGGTGATAGCATTTCCCGCACTGTCGCGGCAAGCAACTCAAAAACGAGCCCGCGCTACGTTACAAATTGGGTTTAGCGCGTACGGGACGCGTCCAATTGCTTTTAAAACACGACAAATTGCAGACAACCTCCCTTCCAACCACATATATATCTATATACCCATCACATCGCCTATATTCTCTTTGCCCCGGAGCCATTCGAAAGAGAATAGTGCGAAATAGAAAGAGGAAAGAGAGATAGAAAAGAGAGGAAAAAAAAGGGAAATATATACCACATATATCTACCACCGCGTTTCTGATTGCAAATTATCCCTTGAATAGCGCTTTGATAGGTTTCAATGTGCTGCGCCTCAAGCCATGGGGGATGGCGGGATAGTGATATATTCTTCAGCTCCGGGCCAAACCAGCCAAACCGAGCAAAGCGTAGCCGCATAACCTCGTTACCAAACCGAGGTGAGGCCACCAGATTGAGAAGTTGTCGCCTAACGTCAACGTCTAGGTGTGGAGAGGTTATTGTTATGCAAATGAGAAAGACGATTTTGGGTGGCTTGGGGTTCTTTACACCCTCCTTCTTCTTCTGCTGCCGCAAAATGTCTTTTTTTCCCTCCCCAACCTTTTCTCCTTTTTTTTTTTCTTCATTTTTTTTTTTTTTTTTTTTGTTCTTTTTATATTCTTTCAAGTTTTGTTTTATTTCTTTTTGTAACGGAGGAAAACAGAAAAATTTTCTTACATTTTTCTACGAGTTAATTTTTTTTTTCTTCTGAGAGACTTTTGAAGGGTGAAAAAAAATTGGTGTGAAGAAATTCTCTTGTTATTTCGTGATAAAAAAAATAATAAACTAAAAAAGGTTTTTTTTTTCTCTCAAGGATATATTTCTGAACTCGCGTTCATTAAATTTGCATATTTTACGTTGCTTAACGATCTGAAATATTAAAGCATGATATTCCTTCCGACAAAATTACTTTACTTTTGACTTATTATCTTTTGACAAAAGAGAAATAATGTACACGTTTTTTTTTCTGTATCTAAGGGGATCTTACTTTATCTAAATTAATTATCTAGCTTATGTTGAAATTTAACTGAACGACACTGTGAATATAATATTAGTTGTGGGAAATCAGATATAACTAAAATTTAAATGGTGCACTAATTTAATAACAACTATGATAGCTTTTTTGTGACATTAAAACTATAGTATAAGATTAATTTTTCTCGCTTTAAAACTGAAGAGTTTAATTTTGAAGTTGTTGATAGTTTCACTTATATATATATTTAGGTTCGGAAATTAAGAATAGAAACAAATGTACTTCTAAAATCCAAAAGACAATTATTATGGCTAATAGATGTCTTAATGAAATGCAAAAATATATGGAATTGAATTCAATCAAAAGAAAAATAAAGTATCTATTGTATAAAAAAAACTTTTAAGATCAGTATTAACTAATGCATGAGAAACTGGGTCCAAGTCTCGAACAGAGAAGAACATGATAAGTATCTACGAAAGGAAGATTTTTTAAGATTTATTTTTCGAAGAATTCAGGATAATAGAACGTGGTGAAGAAGATCAAATTTCGAGCTCTATCAATCATATAAAGAATCTGACATTGACTTCATCAAAATACAACGAATTAAATGGGCAGGTCACGTTGTCAGAATGGACGAAGACAGCACCACTAAAACAGTCTTTAATGCCCAGCCAATCGACAAACGGGGAAAAGGCAAACCAAATCTTAGATGGATTGATGACCTAGAAAAAGATCTCCTAGTTTTGAGAACTAAGAATCGGAAAACACTAGCAGAAAGAAGGCTAGCCCGGAAAAGGCTTCTTGAGAAGGCCAAGGCCCACCCTGGGCTATCGAACCACTCAGGAAGGAAGGATTAGATTAATTTACTTGAAATTTTTGCTTGCTGTTATATGAATTCTAAGCAATGGACACTATATAGCATCTATCTCTGACAATTTCTATTGATAACTATTTGCCTGCTGCTGAAAGAGTTTTTCACGGCTAGCGATTAGCTTAAAATAATTAGGCAGGTTTTTGTTTTTCTTTTTTTCCTGTTCGAGTCCTGATGGCACAGAAGACTACCATATGGAGAAGCTGCTGCACATTACACCTGCCAAGGTTCAAAGTCTTCACATAGTCGTGAGGGAGGGAATTCGGAAAGTAGGGTGCCAGTTTAGAATCGTCTTTGTCACTTGACAGTGATTCAGAATTACAATGTTCATCGTTAATAAACTAAAGAACTGTACATACGTGGTGTAACACACACACACACAGAAAACGAGACTGGCCCAAAAAATAATTATACTTGCAGAATCCATGACAACATCATTTTCAAAGTAGTTTCCTTCAGCATTCACACACTTCTGCGCTCGGTGAAGCTATTGTTAGTAACAGTTTTTGAACGAGGTTTCTACAAGTCCCTTTAGGAGATTTTCCGTTTTTGTCTGAACCTCTTCAACTGAGGTAAAATGGATTCCCTTTCAGCAAGATTTAACTAAACGAAATAAAAAAAAAATAGTCGAATGGGGCCAAATCAGGTGAATAAGGAGGATGCCTCACCACAGTAATATTTTTGCTGGTCAGAAAATGCTTGACAGATATGGCCATGTGAACGGATGCATTGCCTTGGTGCAATAGCCATCCATCACTCCCCAATTCAGGTCCCCTATTTTTTTTACGAAGTCTTTTTATTATTTTAATGTAGTAATGTTGATAACCAGTCTGACCACTGATGTGAGGGGGAATTTACTCATATCACGAATTTTGGCTATGTTTTGGTCTGTAATCCCTGCCCTTGTGTGTCTAGCATGTCCGTCATCTTCCCCACTGACTCTCCCCCCTGAAAACTACTTATACCATTCAGACACATGTGCTCTAGACAAATTTTCATCTCCATAAGCCTCGGTTAAAATTTGAAATGTTTGCGTGGCTGCTTTCTTAAGTTTCACAAGAAACTAGTTGTTGATTCGACATTTTTCTTGCAGGATTCAGTTGCACGTGTTGATTCAATGATGCAGTACTCCCAACTGTCACGATCGATTAAGGCGAAACTGCCCACATGAATAGATTAGGGGTGTGGGTAGACGTCACCAAAACAGTTGTTGCCAACTCCACTCTTTTTTTCAAGCTACACACTTAGTCTCGTTTTTTTTGTGTGTGTTACACATTGTATTTAATAAACTGTTTGAAGTGCGACGTCAAACAATCAAACAATTTCACATTGGATGATCACCCGAAAGCTGATTTTATAGAGCCCTAATTACTAGTAACATTTTAACGCTTCAGGAAACTGAAGAACAAAAGACGAAAAGAGAGATAGATAAGAAACTTTACAGGTTCCAACTGATAGAATCCCATCACAACATGCAAACTTTACTTTATACCAGTGATCTTCAAACTGCGTTCCACGGAACTCTGGGGTTCCACAAGTCACAATTAAGTGATCGAGAAGAAATAAATATGTATGCAAAATGGATTCACGTTTTCTATGAAGTTTGTATAGTTACAAGTATCTAAAGCTCATTCTATTCATTAAAACTAACAATTTTATTTATATATTTTATTTTGCAACAATTTTCAAACTTTTATTACAAATTTATTAAAAGAATATAAAATCCTTTTATCTTTATAGAAATATACCTCTTCCTAGATTATGAATATTCTGTTGTTTACTGTCTCGAGTTCCACGAGATAATTTTATACCCGTTAGTTACACAATGTCTTGCAAAACTAAATAGTTTTTTAATAGAAAATGTATCTTTTTGTATTTGTGGAAGAAAGACATATAAGGATGGTGAGAAAACAACTTATCAATAGATTCGATGTTAAAATCTAAAGTTAAGCAAGAATAGCTTCTAAAAATTTTTGGTTGCAAAATACTTGAGATTTCTCACACAGCTATCAACATTTTAACGCCATTCAGAAAATTGTGTTACAGTGAAATATATTTCTCAACGTAAGTGGCTACAAAAACATTTCAAAACAAATCATACTCAGAATATGTAATGCGATTGCATTTCATCCCAATAGACCTAGATTTCGAAAGTCTGTGCAAAAAAAGCAAGCACATATCCCAGTTATTAAATATAATGCATGACTAGGTGACGCTTGGATCACAAAATAATATTATTAATAAGTAGATTATATTAAAAAAATTAGATTAGAATTTTTTAATAATAAATTCAATACTTTTTTAATTGCCTTTACATAAAGTGCCTAGCACATGTTGATCTACTTTAAATATTATATTTTGAGATATATTCTTCG